CTATTTTAAAGGTTTTCTCTAATTTCTATTTATATAGTTTTCATCGATTTTATATCAGTTTACAATGCCCAGAAATAAATACATGTTTATTGTTCGAATTCAATTTTAAAGTCTAAGGTTTGTATAACCAATTTCGTTGTCAGAAATATTCTTCACAACTTTAAGCCTCCATTGCAGTTTAAGAGGTTGGACTATAGAGATGGGTAATTGACTTTTCGTTGCTTTTTTTTATTTTTTTATTTTTTTTTTTATCTATTGTATATTATTAGGTTTAGCTATTTGCAAATTATTGTAAATTTTGTGAATTATTGTTCTATTTAGTTTATCTTGTGCAAATCTGCTATATTGGTATCATACAAAGCAGTTTCCATGTTTTCTATTTTCTTATTTTATTGTCAACTAAACAGCCATCTCATATGCAAATTCCCATGAATTTCTATTATCAACACTTTTGAAGGTTATCCAAACAAGCACTACATTAATCTCTAATTATAAATAAGTGAAAAAGTACAAAGTTTGAAATTGTGATCAAATAAGCAAATGTGAATAGTGCATTAAATATTACAACTAAAATGAATGAAGTATAATTAATTACTCCATACAATAACCAACTTGAAGAACAATTACGAGCTGGTGCAAAAAGTTTAAACACCGAACCTTTATTTAAAGATAAATTAAATTTCTCTTTCAAACTTGCAAATCTAACTGGAGGAGTCAATTCAAGTAGAGGTGTCAAAAGCTAACCCGACCCGAAATACCGACTCTAACCCAACCTATTAACCGACTCGTCTAAACCCGAAAAAAATGGTGACTCGAATCCGACCTAACCCGACCTGAAACCAACCCTAGACCCGAGTTGACCCGAGTATTTGAGACCCGAACCCGAGCATTAACTGGCCTAGAGATGACCCGACTCGAATGGAACCCGTAAATTATTTACTTGAACCGAACTCGATCTGAACCGAAATTGACCCAAACCCGTTTTAACCCGTCAAAACCCGAATTCAACCCGACCTGTTCCTAACCCGACCCGAATTCAACCCGACCTGTTTCCAGTCCAACCCGAATTTAACCCGACCTGCTACAAACCCGACTCGAATTTCAAGTCGACCTATTACAAACCCGACCCGAATCAACCCAACTTGTTATTGACCTGACCCAAATTCAACCCGACTTGTTATTGAATCAATATGTATAGGTCGTTATCCCATGTTGGTATTTGAACGGAAATTGAATCCTAACTCTATTCCTTCAATATTTCACTTTGAATTTTAAGAGGTTAGTTTCACAACATGTTTTTAGGGACGAATTTCAGGGACGAAACATGTTTTCCGCAAATTATTGACTTGAATCGAATCCGACTCGAACCCGAGAATAACCCGACCTGATTATAAACCGCAAATTATTGACTTGAACTGAACCCGACTTGAACCCGAGAATGACCCGACCTGATTATAACCCGTAAATAATTGACTTGAACCGAAGCCGACTTGAACCTGAAAACGATTCTAACTCGTTTAAACTCGTAAAGACCCGAATTTAACCCGATCTATTTTTCACCCGACTCGAATGTAACCCGACCTTTTACTAACCCGACCTAAACCCGATCCAAACTCGATAAGATGTATGATCCGACGTGACCCGACCCAAGCATGACCCAACCCGAACCCGACCCGCATATGTTATGACATTAACCATATTGACCCGACCCGAGATGATCCGACTCACACTAACTCGACTCAAACCCGACCCGTTTACCCGAAATGACAGCTCTAAATTCAAGAAATAGACGAGTTGAGTCCATCAAGTTAAATCTACTTCAAATTTAATTTAAGTTGGTGTGTAAAAGTCGAAATCAAAATTGATTATTTTACAAATTGGTCAATCTATATCTAATGTCGCATGCTTCAAAATTTATACTCACTTTATCCATAAATCAAGTTGGAAAGGTGATAACATCGATGATTAAATAAACAAACAAAAAAAAAAAAAAAAAAAAAAAAAGCTAAGTGGGCCTAAATTTCCAAAACAACAAAATGAAAAAAAGGTATGAAAACGCTTGTGGGGCCCACAACAAAATGTCCACAAAATAAATTTTTGCTTCTTCATTTTCACTTTGGTCCACATCCATTGTTATGCGGGAATGTGGTATACTCATATGATAACGAATCAAGTGACATCAATTAGATTCATAGCGCTTTCAAATTACAATTAATCGAATAATTAATCAATCACTAATCACAAATTATACTCCACTAGACTCATTAATCATTGCTTTGGGCAACCCTCACGTGTAAAGGTTCCAAAGTGTTTACTCAAACATGACTCCATTTTTTTTTTTACTAAAACACGGTTCCATTTTGTATTAATGATGCAAATTTTGCAATCAATTATACTCCGTAATATTAATAATAATATTTTAATTTAGTTGTTGATCTGTGTACTTGAAAAGTTTACGTAACAGGAAAATTTGTAATTGAATTCCTAAAAAAACAGGATGTTTCTAAAAAATTATTGTCACGTTACTCACATAGTAACAAGAATCACAACCAAATTGAATTCCTAAAAAGTAGGATGTCTCTAACAATTTGTTCTCACGCAGGGTTGGGACTTTTCAAACCGGACCGTGAAACCGTCCGTTATCGAACCGAACCATCACGGATCGAACTGTTTATAAACCGCTAGTTTTAAACCGAAAACCGAACTGAACCGTATAATGTCAAACCGAAACCGAACCAAATCGATTAATGTTAACCCGTTACGAACCGTAAACCGATAACAAACCAAACCGTTTATAAACCGAAACCGTTTGAACCGATTAATGTTAACCCGCTAACTGTTTAAACCGAACCGATTATAAACCGAAACCGTTTGAATAGTAGGAAAAAACCGTTTAAATCGAACCATTTACAACCTGCTAACCGTTTACACCAAACCGTTGTAACCTGTTAAGCCGTTTAAACCGAACTATTTTCAAACCGCAACCCGTTTAAACCGATCCGATTACAAACTGTTTAAAACAAACCGTTTACAACCCGTTCCATTCAAATTGGACTATTTACATCCTTTAACAATTTGTTAGAATTCCACGAATACATTTGATGTTTAATGTAGTTTAACAGTACAATTTTTTGTACGTATAATTATTAATTTAAATTTATAAATTTTTTTGCTATTATAAAATTAAAATTATATTCTTGCATAACTAAATTAGGAGTTATAAATTGAATAAAAAAATTATAAAAAATCTGGCCACCCACCCAATCCAACACCCTCCACCTACCCACCACCGTAACCCACCCTAACACCACCCCCGCCGTCACCCCAGACTCACCCTATCACCACCACATCCCACCACCGTCACCCCAGACCCACCCTAACACTACCCCCACCCCACCACCGTTACGTAACCCACCTCCACCCCACCACCGTTACCGTAACCCACCCCCACCCCACCACCATCAACCCAGACACACCCTAACACCACCCCCACCCACCATAATTATCATAACCCACCCCACCCACCCCACCACCCACCGTAAATACAAAAAAAACCCAGACCCAAACCCCCACCCACCCCATCCACCACCGTCACCGTAAATAATAAAACCCAGACCCATGCCCCACCCCACCTACCACCATCACCGTAACGCACCCCACCCACCACTGTCACTGTACAAAAAAAAAAAGAAAAAAAAAAAAAAACCAGGCCCAACCCCAACCACACCCACCACCGTCACCGTAACACACCCCACCCTACCCCATACGAAAAAAATCGGAAAAAAAAACCCAAACTCACTGTAACCCCACCCCACCCATCCCCACGAAACCCAACATCCTCGAAACCCCCCCCCCAACTCACTCTAACTACTCACCCACCATAAAACTCCCTCCCTCCCTTGAAAAATCCTCCCTCCCCTCCCACCCGAACCCACTCTAACCGCCGCCGAACCCACCCTAACTTGGCCCCCTCCGTCGCCCACAACCTGAAAAAAAAACAGAAAAAAAAAGGAAGAACAAAAATACCTTATATATTATTATATTAATCCCGAATTTGGCCTCGAATTTGGTTTTAAAAGGCCAAATTTGATCATGAAACAACTAGATCTAGAGTTTCGTGGTCGAATTTGACCATAAAAACCGTCGTGCGTGGTGCCGGTGGACGGTGACGGAAAACGAGATGGAAGAAGGAGAACATAGATGGAAGAAGGGAAAAGAAGAAAGGAAGATGGAAGAGGAGATGAGAGAGAAAACGGGAGAGCAGTGAGCATATTAACAGCCATGGCTCAAAAAATTGATAATATTACAGAAGAGGAGAGAGAAAACGAGAGAGAAATCAAAGAGTACTAAAGAGACAATGGTAAGAGTGATTTGATTAGTGAAAAAGAAAACACACGGATCATGAATTGGAATGTGTGCGATGATAGGCCGTTAGATGACATGCAAATCAATGGCTGATATTTAATTTAAGACGGTGACACGGATCGTGGAATGATGGATTAGGATAGTATGTTTTTTTTTATTCATAGCTACGTACTAATAAAAACACTACTGTACTCTTAAAAAATTATTAACTTTATGTAACTTATCAATTGTAAGAAACAGAAATGTTTGGAAATTCAAATTGATTCAATACGACATATTTAATGTATATTAGTTATTATATGTAATAAATAATAATGTATGGTACGATTGGTATCATACTATCATTGGTATGAATAGATAATCAATAAATGTATCTGATTATTAAAACTTAAAACAGTTGATGATCGATCTAATTGAATACTTCCACTTCTCCATCCGTTTTCTTTAACTTGCAAGTTGCAACATATATATGTTGCAGCCTTGTAGGCACGTAATCTTAAAAGGTGATCAGAGAGGGTAAGAGAACAAAGTAATTCAGCAATATAACTTTAACACCAAAATTATGGAATAGTTACAAACAATTGTCAATTATTACTTTATTAGACTAATGGGAAATTGAATAATTGTGATTTTAATTAAATATCCAAATATAGTTCTGTAACATTAAATTATTAGTTTATTACAATATCAATTATCGATTTATCGTATTCAAAGTACCAACTCATCAAATCATGGTCATGACGCGATCTTTAAAACAAGAAGTTGATAACCTGATAATAATCAATAATGAAACAATAATACATTAATACCTTATAAATTTGTAATAGACTAATATTTAATAAACAACAACAAGACTATAACCAAACTTGAAACATAACACATTAACATGATATAGAATATGAGAATTTCTGTAATTCTATATAATCTGATATCTGAATCGATTTATCGTATTCAAAGTAGCAACTCATAAAAATATGGTCATGACACGATATCTAAAACAATCCAACAAGAAGCTGATAACCTGATAATATTTGATAATGAAACAATAATACATTATAAATTTATAATAGACTAATATGATAACATCTAATAAACAACAACAAGAGTATAACCAAACTTGAAACATAACATATTAACATGATATAAAATAATTGAATAAATGAAGATTTGTGTAATTGTATATAATCCGATGTCTGAAAATAAAGTGACGAAATACCAACTTGATATAAAACGAAACCAGCTAATTGGTCAAAAACTCTTTAAACCCAATTTCTACTCGATCCATTTTTTTTTTCACCAACCTATACTGACCTGCTAATGAAATGGAAATACTAGTCCCAACTTGATATAAAACAAAACGCGCTAACTGGTCAAAACCACTTTTTAGAACTCAATTTCAACCCGAATCAAACCGACTTTATCTAGTTCGCTAAAGAAATGAACCTTTTCAACCCGATCCAATTTAACCGATTACCAAACTAACCCGAATGATTTTAGCACCAAATCGAGTATAAACCGAACCGATATGAATCGAACTAGCATTAACTAGGGTAAATCCGCCCCTGAACCGACCCGTTTCAAAATAATTCGTTCATGACCCGAACCGATATGAACCTGAACCGACGTTGACCCGGTAAAACCGTCCTGAACCAACCTGTTTCAAACTGATCCGATTATGAACTGAATCGTTTAAAAACCGAACCAGCATTGACCCGAGTAAACCCGCCCCTGAACTGATCCGTGTCTAACCGATCTGATTATGACTCGAACTGTTTATAAACCGAATCGTTTATGACCTGAACCGAATTTAAACCGTACAAAAATAAACCGAAACCGAACCGACCTGTGACTAATCAGAACCGAACTGAACCGACCCGCCGTTTAAATGAAACTGTTTCAACCCGAACCGTTTCAAACCGAAACCGTTTCAAACCGAAGTCAAACCGAACTGCCAAACCGAAGTCCCACCCCTATTCTCACGTACTCAAATCCAAAAAAAACAACTTTTGGGAGTTAGGTAATTTCTTCCTAGCACTAAATTAAAATAACCCAAAATTAGTGTAACAGCTACTTATACGGAGTACAAAGTAAATGATTCTATCATAGCGCGGTAAATGTCTAAATGATAATTGTAACATGCTTTTTAAATATGGCGACATGGAGTATGTATTATGAAAAATTACGTTACTTTTATAAAATAAAAATGTCAAATACTTGCAACACCGAAAAGTTATTTTAGAGAATAACTATATTATTTCCCTTATTTAAATCACATAACCCACTAAATTACATTACTAACAATCATTTATCATATTTAAAAGTATATTATATAATATAAATCTCATATTTCTTAAATACTGTAAAGAAGTGTGTATTACAACTATTAAAAAATTTGGGGAAGTATTAAACCCCCAAAAATAACATAATTTCATACAAATATTTACCATCTTTGTTCCAAATAAACGACAACATTATCCGAATTTCTCATATTTTAAAATACAAATAATGCCTGAAATTAAGTTGGCATCACTAAAAAAATGTAGGACAACCTTAAAATCACATACAAATTATAAAAATCCTTATTTTCTTGTTGTCATTATCATCTGTCAACTAATCTAATCCTATGAACTAAAGTTACTACTCCGTATATCTGTTGATTTAATCCTGAAAAAGTTACTATATATAATAAGATAAAGAATACTGATGTACTCAACCTTAAAAAAACAAATCATATAAAGCAAAAGGTTAAACATTAAGCATTAAATACACATTAATAATTCAATGGACCTATAATTTTGTCATATATTCCTAAACTAATGATACAGATTGCGTATAGCCGTATATCATAATCGATCCAAAAATAATTAGCAAAATAGATAAAATGAACTAACCCAGAAAACGCAATTCCAGAAGAAGCAACAACGCAAGTCTGAATAACAGTATTCTCCTGACGAGTAAACGGCTGCTTAAGAACCCCGAATTTCTCCAGAAACTTCGTCCAAGTTTTAACAAAGAAGAACCCTAACAATCCAGCCGAAACATTAAGCGACGGAATCACACCAGTCGTAAGATTAAGCTTCATAACAATGAAGGTAAACAAAACGCTGAGAATCAAGTTAACAACAAAAGCTCGAAGAGTCAGCTGATTCCGCCATGTCGGTACTATTTTTCCGGCAAACATCTTTTCCACCGACGGCGTTGTGTCGGTGGTGGTGGCGTCGCCGGCGTCGGAGGCGGCGTAAGAATCGCGGTGGTTGTGGCGGTGGTGGAGGATGTTGGGGGAGGTTTCCGGCGCTGCTTTTTCGACGTCCATGGTTGTGGTGGTGGTTACGGAGGAGAGAGAGAAAGAGAAAATGCGGATCTAAAGGGAGGAAACTAGGAAAGGGGATATATAGGAAGATGGAGGTGTGATGAGGTGAATGAGCTGTTTTTGGATTGGAAGTTCATTTTGAGTGGTGTAATGACTAATGATAATATCTAATTTTGAAATGTGGGTTTTGGAAAGAAGAAAATTGGTCAACGGAAAGTGTGAATTGGTGAAGCTGTAATTTTTTGCGATTTTTGAACTTGAACGTGTGTGTAAAAAATGTGAAATATGAATATGAATATGGATATGAAAATAATAAAATATGATTACGTTGGATTCACTAAGTGAGATAAATTAATTTATGATTGTAAAAGCTTTTTAAATAAGGAAATTGAGCAAGTATTTAAAAATGTCCAAAAAAAGGAAAATGAAGCAAGCATTTAAAAACGGAGGAAGTAATTAGAAAAAAATTTAACAATATACTACCTCCATTAATGGTTATCTACAACTTTGATATGTTTGATACAAGTATTTCACAAATAATACTGCCTCCTTTAATAGTTACGTGCAACTTTTGCCATTTTTTTTCCGCTAAGCATTAAGTGCAACAAAAAAAATTCTTTCCTCTTTTAGTAAAAAAAATTAGTCAAATGTCAATTTTACCCTCGTTTAAAAAATTAAAATACAATTACTAACTATAATCAGATTTAATTAATCACTAATTCTCACCCAATTTTCACCCCAACCAACCCAATCTAATTCATCAACTCTTCATCTTCAATTCAAGAAACCCAAAACCACCTTCATCATCTTTCCCCATATTTTCTCTCTCCTCTTTCAATCAAATTATTTCTTTGAATTTTTTTATAGATCTTCTTTCTCTCTCTTCAACTTCAATAATTTCTTAGGATTTCTGGAATTTGGGGTGGTTTTTGTTTAGGATTTCGTCGGCGTTTTACCATGGGATTTCGTGGTGGGATTTCGAAAATGGCAGTTGGCGACCGTGTCAAGCCTCAAAGTTGCACAAAACTATTAGGAGGTAGTACCCTAAAGTTGCAGATTACCATTAACGGGGGTAGTATTATGAAACTAGATGTTATGACGAATCTAATGATATATATTATATAATAACATTTATTTATTTTATAGAGATGAAAAAATTAAATCAATCATGGTATGTGAATAGTGCTAAAATCAAAGAGTCAATTGGGTGTTTAGGTCGGATTTGATTGATCAAGTAGGGTTAGATCTACATTAAATGTGAGTCATGCTAAATTGTAGTGTTCATACAAATTGAAATCTAAATTTGAATTATTTTTTTTTTTGGGTTTTCAAATTGGGTCGTAAGATCCATTTTTGACACCTCTACTTATAAAGTAAAGTTATTTGTCACGATTTGCGTTGAAATTTTTTTTGAACCTTAGAGTAGTAGCTACGTACACCTGTCAATCGGCTCGGTCGGGTAGGTTTAGGTCAGGTCACGGGTCATTTCGGGTCGAGTTACTTCGGTCACGGGTTGAGAAATGCTCAACCCTAACCCAAAGTTTTGGGTTCGAGTCAACCCAACGAGTTTAGAACAATTTTTTATTTGATTTATTTTTTACTAATTTTTAAATATTTATATTTTTTAAGCTTACTTTTTTTTTTCAATTTTTTTTATAAAAAATTCTCATCAATATTTAATTTAGCTTTTAGCTACTACATAATTTAAATCGTCACCAAAGCACACTAATTTCTAATTAATAAAAAAAATGTCTTTCTTTTTTTTTAGAAAAAATAGCTTTTTAACTTTACAAAACTAAAGAAACAGGTCAGGTCTGGCCAATGTGGCATGACAATTATGTAAGTTATGCGGATGCAATCGGTGTGGGTCGATTGTTGATGTAGGAGGTTTGAGATGGATAAATGAGACAGAGTTGAATGTCGGATGGTAAATAAATAATCGGAAAAATACACTTTAACACTACTAGAAAACAGCCTATTTCTGACGGATTCGTTCCGACGGACGTATAATTCCGTCGTAAATTTCGAAATTTCCGACGGATTTAAATTACGCCGGAAATTTAAGACGGATTTAAATTACGTCGGAAATTTAAGACGGATTTAAATAATCTGTCGGTAATCCGTCGTAAATTTCTGACGGAATTTAAATCCGTCGAAAAATATGTATTTAACGACGGAATTTTCCGTCGTAATTCAAAATTTCCGACTGGATTTAAATCCGTCGGAAATTTCCGACCGAAAATTCCATCGAAAGTCAATTTTTTTTAAAAGCCCTTTATTTTATAAACCCTAACCGACACTCCTTACCCTTTTATTCTTTATTCCATCTGTTCTCTCTCCTCTACTATGCGCCTCCCTCTAACCCTTTCCTCTTTCTCTCTCCTCTCTTCTTCTCTGGTCATCTCCTCTATTTTGTTCTGCCCTCTAGCTCCTCATTTCTATCTCCTCCTTCTCTTTCTATCTCCTCATTTATCTTCTCTTTCTCTGTTTTTTTTGGCGAATGATGTGGTGGCGAGTGGTGTGGAGGCAACGCGGTGGTGCTTCTCAAATATTTCAGAAATTAATGGTTTTTTTGGTCAAATTCGACCATAAAAAGACTAGATCTAGGCTTTTGTGGTCGAATTTGGCCTATTTAAACCAAATTCAACAATTCAAAGCTAATTTCTATTATTGAGGTATGTTTTTCGACATTTTTTTTTATTGTTTTTAGGAAAATGTTAAAAAAACCACCCAAAAATGTGTTTAATTTCTAACTAACCACCCAAAAAAAAATTTATTTTAAAATACCACCCATTAAATTAATTTTTTGCTCAGATTCCCACCCAATTTGAAAATCTGGTGGTTTTTTAGCTTGTGGGGCCCACATAACGGCTAGTTTATGCTTTTATTTGTTTTCTTCCCCCGATTTTTCCTATAAAAGTGTATTCCTTATTCAATTTTTGCTCCTAAACAAAATTTTTCCCCAAATTACACAAAATTAAGCTTGCTTCTAATTGCATTTGCATCTGCAGCAACGACATCACTTGAATTCGCACAAGGTAATCTCAATTATCTGGAAAAATTAGGGTTCTTGCAAAATGTTAATTGGGGGAATTTGTGGGATTCATTAATTAGGGTTTTTTCATGTACACGATTTAATTGAGATATTTTGTCAATTAGGGTATGTGGTAGTACTGAATTGTGGTTTTTCCTTTCAATTACAGTTAAGTTTGCTTTATTTGTAACCTTGTTCTTTGTGTTTGTTTGTTGTTGTAATTGTTGTGGTAGAAATGGAGGAGAATAAGATTGTTCTCAGATTTAAATATTTAAGTGTAACTATAGACATTGAATATGAAGTAGGCAGAAGTAACTTGTTGGATACAGCTATAGGATTTGATGATCAACTTTGTGAGATGGATGATCCATTAGAAGGATCAGTTGAACTGTTGCACCCTACATTCCAGTATGTGTATAAAGGGAAGTTTAGGAATTTAGAAGATGATGGGGATGTGTTCAAGATGATTAGGAGGTTACCTAATAAGGAGGTGTACACCATACATGTTGGGACCACAGATGATCCTGGGTTTTTGGCTGATTGTATGTTGGAGTACAGGATGAAACAGAATGGTACATGGCCCCCCCTGGTTACCCTCATTATGGAGCGCAACCACCACAGTGAGTATGTGTGATTGAGGATATGTTAATGTGGTTGAATCTTTGTTTAATTGATGTAAATTGTTAAACTAACTGAGTACTGTTATGTTGTATTGCAGGGATGAAGATGTCATGGAATAACTCATCTCCCACAAACCAGAGGAAATGCAATTGTGGATTACCTTTAGCAAAATTGACTTCTTGGACAAATGAGAACCCTGGGAGGAAATTTTTGGCTTGCAAGTTCTATGACCCTAAAACTGAAACAAGGGGGTGCAAGGCTTTTGAATGGGTGGACAATGAAGATGGTACTGATTGGCAAAGAGTTGTCATTAACCAACTGCTCCTTGACAAAAAGTTGATGAAAGGTGAAATCAACTCTTTGAAAAGGGATGTGGATGACTTGACTGGCCAGAGAAGGTGTTTGCTTAATGAGGTTGACACCTTACAACTGAAATGCAAGGCCCTCACTGGTGATAGGAAGAAATTGATCAGAAGCAGTGGTTGTGACAACAAGCTCCAAGTTTATTTAGTTGTGTTGTGTTCTGTTTTGTTGGTTGTCCTAGGTTATCTTGTAATGAATAAAATGGTTTAAGTGGGAGGTGGTGTTAAAGCAAGAGTATTTTTAATGGTACTATTATGCTATCAATGAAAAAAACTTGTTTTAGTTTGTCTTATTGTTGTTGTTAGTTTAAAATTCCACCAACTGAATAAATATGCAATGGGTTTAAACAACCAGCAACTGAATAACTATGCAAATGGTATAAAAAACCAGCAAAATGACCCATATATTTCAACTAATAATGCACTATATCAGTGCTATTGTCAAATTCAAAACATAAGGGACTCAATTAACAATCCAAACACTTATGTCCAAAATACTAATACTTAAACTGTCTTGTAGCTCATATAAAAATACAGCCACATCAAATTACATTTAGCAAAATCAAATATATGGGTCAGCAGAAGCTACTTCCTAATTCTAAGAGGCTGCTCTGAGCTAACAGCCTACTTCCTAAGTCTAAGAGGCTTCATCTTGGTTCTGGGTGGTCTGGCTGAGGTAGTGGGAGATGTTGTTACTGATGCTTGAGTGAGCTGGCTCAGCTGATGGTGGTCAGTCTGCTGTTGTTGCTGACTCTGCTGATGCTGACTCTGAGGCTGCTCTTGATACAGAGTCTGCTGACTTTGAGACTGCTGAGTAGTGTGCTGCTTCTTCTGCTGCTCTTCCTGAGGGAACCTCCTATTAGCAATATTGTTGGGTCCTGGTGTACCACCAAGGGCACTCTGCATAGCCAAATTAACAATAAGTAGGATGATACTTCTCAATAAACACATCTGACCCTAAATCACTGCTATGTAGGATATTTTGTACCTTTTTCAAAGCTCTTTCTGCTTTCTTCTTCCTCTGGTCATTCACCCATTCACTGTGCACAACAGGTCTTTCTCCTTCTTTTTTTGGGGATGAGACAGCAACAGGAGCCACATGTGGGTTTTTGCATGTCTTAGCATAGTGTCCCAATTGCCCACAGTTCTTGAAAGTGCTCCTCCTTTTCAAATGTTGCTGCTCTTGCTGGTTACCACCAACCACTTCCCCTTTCTCCAACTTTCTCTTTTTTGACTTTGGCCTCCCAGGCTGAATTTTTACTGCTGGTGGCAGAGGTTGCCTCAGCTTCACCTTCTCCCAGTGATGTGGACCAGGCATAGCTGGCACTTCTTTCCTGCATGCAAGCATATAAGTGGACACAAGATATGCATCATCCACATAATCTTCAGGGTCAGCCCTCTTGTCCATGATGCATGCATATGCATGCACACATGGGATGCCTGTTAGCTCCCAGTGGTAGCATGAGCATGTTTGTTTGCTGAGATCAACTGTCACTAGGTCTGAGTTCAACTCTACCTCATAAGTATCACCCCTTGAAATCTGCACAATGCAATGTCTAGCAGCAGGTTCTATCCTTTGAAATGTCTTCTTCACATAAGGAACAACCTTACCTTCCATTTCCTGATAACTCTCCCATTTCTCATGGTTCCTTCTCATCATGTACCTCCTAAGCCACTCCATCTGAGTCAAAATTGGCTTATCCCTTGCTTCTTTGATGACTGCATTAAAAGTCTCACATACATTGTTGAGCAACATGTTAGACTTTGGGAATGGACTAAATGCATGTCTGGACCAGTGTTGAGATGGGATCTCAGCTAGATATTCATATTCTTCTTCAGACAGAAAATTAATTGATTCCATTGCCACTTCAAAGTCAAACTAAGCAAGAAACACCACACACATCCATCAAATACACATAGTCAGACAACATAAAAACACATAAAACAGAAACATAGATATACAACACATATTTCAGTGTCAAATACATAGTTGCATAACACAGACACATAGATTTAATCAGTTAAACACCCATAACAATGTAGAAACATACCAAAGTTGTTGCCCTAGCTACTGACCAGAACAACTCCTTGAAAGTTGCACCACTAAATTGTAGCTTGAAGTTTGCCCATATATGCCTCACACAATACCTTTTGTCTGCATAAGGCACCACCTGCTCCATAGCTTCTAGTAAACCCTATTCAAAAAAAAAAAAAATACCAAGGCCTTTAGAATATCAGACATAAAGGTAAAACCAAGGCCTTGATTTTCATCCTTCAAGGCTTTCATTAAACTCTCTAAGAACCACACCCAAGTGTGTGTGTTCTCAATCTCAACTGTTGCCCAGGCAATAGGATATATGTTATTATTGCCATATTTACCAACTGCAACTAGTATTTGACCAGGATAAGGGCCTTTGAGATGGCACCCATCAACTCCAATCAGTGGTCTGCAGCCTGACAGGAAACCTCTTGCCATAGGTGCAAGGCAAATGAACATTCTCAGGAATTGAGGAGGCTCAGGCTGGTCAACTCCTTCTACTACAACATTGCACGCAGTACCAGGGCTATACTTAATGATAGCCTTCCCATAGTCCCAAACTTTAGCATACTGCTCTGCTGCTGATCCATATATCAGCAACTTAGCCCTAGCCCTAGCCATCCAAGCCTTGCTGTATGTAATTTCAATGCCAGTGTCACCTAGCACCCTCCTCCTGAAGCTCTTTATTTTCCATCCTGGATCACTTCTCCAATCCTCAAGGTACTTCTCAGCTAAAAATTCAGCAGTTAGGTTTAAATTGCTCCTAACTCTGAAACACTTGTGCTTCAAATTCAGACTCTTAATCTTCCAATAGTCTTGGTTCACAGGCCTCCTTGCAACTACCCTAAAGTGACATCTTCTCCCCCCTACACAAGTACACTTAGGTAGCTTACACTTCTTAGCATTCCACTTGCACCGACACCTCCTTCTGCACTGAATAGTTACTTTGGTACTGTCATTGTGCAAATACCAATACTCATACCTATTCTGAATAGCATGAACCCTTAACACTCTCCTCAGAATTTTGTTGTTCTGGAACTTCAGACCTTTGACCAATTCAATGGGTTTTTTTGAAGTCAGTCTGTGGATGGAAAGTTGGGCAATTGTCTTGCTCCTCATCACAACCTCTAGGGCTATCCAACTCCTCAGAGTCAGATGTAAACTCTCTCTCTACAGTAACCTCATTTCTCAACAGTTCACTCTCAAGGTTGTACTCAGGGAGCTGCAACTCTTTATCACTGTCATCTTGCACACATTGTAAACTAGCATTCACTTCTGCTAATATCTTGCCCACACTGTCATCTAGATCTTGAAACTCCCCCTCCTCAAAATCCCCCTCTTCTTCCCCAACTTCCCACTCTATGGTAGTATCAGAGTTTGATGAATCAGATCCAAAGTCTGATTCCAAGTCCACCTCACTCTTACACTTCTTCTTCCTTTTCCCTTTTGCTTTTCCCTTTCCCTTCTTCCCTGTTTGCCTAGAAGTACCTTCCTCTTCACCCAATTTGTTCTTCCCTTTCACACTGTCAGAGAACAGTTTCTTTTTGGTGGTGGTGTTCTCAGTATGCTCATCAACCCTGTCTACCCCTTTGCTGGTTTTTTCTGCCTCCTCTTTATCTTTAATTTCCAACTGCTGCTTAAACCTAGGGCTCCTCCTCACTTCACTGGGCTTAGGTTTGACTTTTGTTTTTTGGGTGGGTTGTACAATACTCACTTCAGGGCTAGTACAATAAACTATAACAACCTTATCCTTGTTTATTGTCTCTAGCAAGCCTTGGACATCACTGTCACTCACAATCTCCTTTTTCCCACTTGACCAAGTCCTCCCCTTTATCTTATACCAAACATTGAACAGCCTTGGCACATGCATATCTAACTTCACAAAGCCCCAAATGCAAGATTCCGTAACAAAGTTCACAGACATCTCACTAACTTTACACTTGTACCTCCAATATTCAAAGCCACCCTCATACCCACATAATGTCTTCCCCTTTATTTTTTTGTTCACAAACACCCCCCTAGTCTAACATTAACAGCTACATAATCAATATCAGCAACAACCTGTTCATTGTATAAAGCAAAATTATGCACTTTCAACACAATTCACATGCACAAAAAATGCAACTTTGTTACAAATAGCAGTAGTAAACAATTCGCCTAATTCACTCTCCTAAGTACATCCCTAATTAAATAATTCAACAACAATTACAGTAATAGAATACATAACTCAATCAAATACACAAACAACCCTAACTTTCCACATAATTGCAAATATACCATCAACAACCAACAACCTTCAACATTAAACACAAACAACAAAATTGCTTACCTCTTTCGACGCCATTGCACTGAGCTATTGTCAGGTTCCTCACCTAAGCTCCTGGTCCCCAGTAAACAACAAAAGATGGCGAATTTTTTGCAATTAAACAACCCCACTTCAAGCAATTACTCTAGATTAATTCCTGTTGCAAGTACAATTAGGGTTTTAATGTCGAATTTAGGGTTCTGAATTGAACAATGCACAGCAATTTATGAAGAAAGGGGGAATTCGCTGAAAAAAGGAGTGAAATTTGATTGTAGAATAGGGTTAGTTGGGAGAATTGAATGAGAAAGAGAGTGAAAGACAGTGAAGTCGAGAGAAAAGGGAAAAAAAGGGAAATAACTAAACTGGGCCCCACAAGCTAAAAAACCACCGGATTTTCAAAATGGGTGGGAATCTGAGCAAAAAATTAATTTAATGGGTGGTATTTTAAAATAAATATTTTTTTGGGTGGTTAGTTAGAAATTCAACACATTTTTGGGTGGTTTTTTGAAAATTTTCCTTGTTTTTATGTTTTTTTTCAAATTTTTTTCGGTTGGTGGCGCTGTGGTGGGGGGGGGGGTGACTGGTGCCGTGGTGGTTTTTTTTTTGTTTTCATTTTTTAAAAAATTATTTTCGGGTGGCTGGTGTTTTTAGGTGGGTGGGTTTGGGTGGGTTTGATTAGGGGGTTGGGTTAGGTTGGTGGGTGGGTTCGATTAGGGGGTCGGTTAGGTGGTAGGGGTTCTGGTGGGTGTTGGTGTGGGTGGTGGATCGGGTTAGGGTTCTAGTGGGTGTGGCTGTGGGTGTGGGTGGTGGATCGGGTTAGGGTTCTAGTGGCTGTGGCTGTGGTTGTGGGTGGTGGATCGGGTTAGGG